TGGGGAATTCTGGGAGTTGGAGTCCACGCATCTTAAAGTGCCCAAGGTTGAGGAACACTGCACTACAGCATTTTTGATAGTTGACCATCCAGCCTCAATTTGAAGACTTCTAGCAAAGACCTCACCACTTCAAATGGCAGGTTGATCGTTGATAGCATCAGGACGTTCCTCCAGGGGCTGCAATTCAGTTTAAACCAACCAAGATTCTCCACTGGATCAGACTAGTAGCACTGGGCGCCACTAACGTTGTCTGAATTTTAAAAATTAGTTTTTTAAAAAAGCTATTTAAAGTGGGGGGTTACTTCTGCTTCTTCTGTGTTTGTCACAGCCCCACGCAGCTTAACGACACACACGCACACAGCCCAAAAACCTTCTTGGGTACCTACCCTGACAACGACCACTTGCACTGAAACGTGCTCAGGGAGCCGGATAGCAGCCCGGAAATGCATGGCCAGGGCCACCAGCAGGTGGAGGATGGACACCAGGTTCTTGCCATGGATCACTCAAGAAGAAAGAGAGACCAAGAAGTCACCACAGGAAGTTCTGAACGAGCTGACTTCTTAAGGGAGCCCCATTTAATTCCACCCCAGGAAAATCTTTTAGAGCCTCTTTTTTTACCTGCTCTGGGGCTTCCTCCCATCCCTGCTGATGACATCTCACTGGGAGGAACTTTACTCTCCTCGAGCCCTTTGTGAAAACCAAAAATCTAAAACCTGCACTTTTTCACCTTGGCCCAAATTTGGGGAGCAGAAACAGATGCCCCATTCTGTCTCTTCAGTCTCACCTCTTGGACCTCCCTTCTCCTGCTGCTCCCTGGACCCAGCCAGGCCCATTTCTGCGAGGCACCCCACTCCCCACTGGGCCCTCCTCCAAATTTTGGACATGGGGCACACACTCCCAGCCTCTGATGACCAACTTGGGCACGAGAGGGCAGCCCAACTGGATGAAAGAAATCAGAGAAGGAAACCAGAGAAGGAATCCCTACTGACCTCTGGGGTATTGGCCTCCAAGAAAATGCACAACGTTGACCTGGCAAGAGGTGGGCTCCAGTTGCCCATTCCAGGTGCCTCCTGCTTGGCCAACGGCTTGGGAATGCAATCAACAGCAAGGAAGGTGAGTCTTGGTGACCTGCCTCTGAACGGGTGTGCCGGCCTGAAGGTTCGTGGGTGTCTTGAGACAGTTGGCCTTCCCGCTAAATCTCACATGAACTCAAAGCACCAGATGACCCACCAAGATCAGCATCCTCCCTTCTGGAGAACTTGCAGCAGGACAGGGTGGCAACTCCCCTTCCCACCCTTTCGCCTTTGCCGGTGCTATTCAGAGAGCGCTGAAGTCAGACATTTCCACTAGTTGCCGGGGCATAAAGCCAGGCTGAATCAGATTAGCAGCAGTGGCATGCTAATATTTATTTTTGCTACTGCAGGCGTAAGGGGAGCTCCATAGATCAGGAAAACAGGCCAAGTTACATGCCACGAGAGCGCTCCCAACATTTGCATTTTTTCCAACCTTTCCAACTCCATGACCTCTTAAAAGACCTGGATGAATTCAAAAAAACACAAAACCCTCAGGTCTATTCCTACTCCTCTGGGTTTACATTCTCATTCTGATGCAGTCATCTCCAGGCTCTCGTTCTCCTTCTTTATGGAAAACATTCATACTGTCGCTTCTGCAGGCTGACTGTAATTTGCAGCAATGCAGGAGCTCACGTGTAGCCAGGGGCGTCTATGGGTGCATGTCGAAATCTGCAAGACGGCAGATGCAGGGGCATAAAGTCCCACCCCTTTTGCACCTGCATGCAAAAGGGGTGGGGCTTCTATCCTGATATGGCACCCGCCATTTTGCAGATTTTGACATTCCTCCCTCTGCACGTGGCACCCGTTAGGAACATATTAAAGGAGTGTTTCTCAACCTCGGCAATTTTAAGCTGAGTGGACTTCAACTCCCATGGCTGGCTGGGGAATTCTGGGAGTTGAAGTCCACTCAGCTTAAAGTTGCCGAGGTTGAGAAACACTGCATTAAAGCATTTCTTAGGCTTAGACAGCAACGTTTTGCAGCTGCTGTGATTCCAGAAAAGAGGCATTTAGTTTAATGTGTTATTTTTTTAAACAGTGAGTTTCTAGCTTTTCTGATATGCTGTAAGGCATAGATGAGATTTGGGATCAAAATGATGACTGCGTAAGAGTCTGAGTGGCTAAAAGGGGGACTCCTACTATCCTGCACAACTCCTTGCTTCTACCAACAATGGGCAGCGTGGAGCCATGCTAAAATATGCAAGTAAAACAACATGGTCTAATCCATACTGATTGTCCAACATAGTTTTCACATGCTTTCCTTCACAATGAATGAAATCAAGGTGAGAGATGGAACCCCACATTTATATCTTGATGAAGCACTGAGATGTTGTCAGCAAGTTCTCCAGGGCTTCCAGAAAATGACGCCCCCGCCCCTAATTTTGCTCTTTTGGGTATCTTTTACTAGAGGTAACCTGGGACCTTACACGTGGACGACACGTAGCCAACCACTTAACTATGTCAGCTTTCTTAGAGTTCCTTTCAAAGCACGCTGCTTACAGTCCACACTCCACTTGATCGTCCAGCCGTGGGGTCGGAGTAAATCGTGGACGGCTTCCAGAACAGTCTGCAGTTTCTGCTTCTGTCCAATTTCAGACTGCGTCACTTCGGCCACATTTAGTTTACGACCAGCTAGCTTTTCTAGGTGGAAAATACAGATAAGCAGAAGCAAGATTGTTCAAGCAAGGTAGAGGTCTTTAAGAAGGCCTTTAAAACACCTCTGGTGCTACAGGTAGTCCTCATTTAGCAACTGTTCGCAGTTACGACAGTGACAAAAAGTAACTTTGCCACCAATCCTCACATTTACAACCTTCGCACGTCAGTAAAACAAAGGAAATCTGAAGTGAGAACATAAGCACAGTCGGGGTTTCACTTAGCAACCATTTCGCTTAATGACTGAGTTACCAGTCCCAGTTGTGGTCACTAAATGAAGACTACCTGTAGTTGTTCTTCATATGGAGACTCAGGACATGTGAGATGCACAGATGCCCATTTACAACTTTTATTGTGCAGTTTCTGAATTAAAAGCTTCAGTCATTCATGCTCACACAAACCCTGAAAAGTCTGTCCTCTAGGTTTGGGTTGTACAAGCGAAGACACTCACAAGGCATGGTACCTAACATTATATGATGGTTCACAAGTACTACAATTCCCACCCACTTTTATAATTTGAAACAAGGCTTGGCCAATTCCAACTTGGTGCTCTTCTCGTGCCTTCTGGTACAGTGACGCATGAGCGCCATTTCCTCATCCAGATGGGAACCACCTCTTGTTTCAAGAACCACTTTGTGTTCTGAGAACTATAGTTTGCTGGGTCCTCCTAGAAGTCTTCGTTCTGATAGTTTTCCACATGTTGCAAAAGCTGAAATCTTCCAGATTGATGCCTCTTGACTCTACGATCTGCTTTGAGTGGATCTCATCTGCTAATCATTCTTGCATCTCAGTTCATACCTTCACACAAATAAGTGTCTTAAGATATACATACAGGAACTAAATAGCTACAAATCTATCTATCTATCTATCTATCTATCTATCTATCTATCTATCTATCTATCTATCTATCT